CATTCCTTTACTTTTAGTCTGTGCCTTTCAATCTGAGGTGGATCTCTTATAGATAGCATAAACATGAATTTTGTTTTCTTATCCACACTCAGCTAGCTATTGGTATGCCTTTTGATTGGAGTATCTAATCTATTTATATTTAAAGTGATTATTGATAGGTACATAGTTATTCCCATTTTATTATTCATATTTTTTATTTTGGTTGGTTTGCTTTCTTCTTTCTCCTGCTTAAAAAAGTCCTTTTAACGTTTCTTGTAATACTGGCTTGGTGGTAATGAATTCCTTTAGTTTTGTTGTTGTTGTTGTTTGTTTTGTTGCTGTTGTTATTTTGGTTTTTGGGTTGTTGTTTTTTTTTCCTGCAAAGCTCTTTCTCTCTCTTTCAATTTTAAATTATAGCCTTGCCAGGTAGAGAAGTCTTGGTTGCAGGCCCATGTTTTTCATCACTTTAATTTCCTGCCACTGTCTTCTACCTGGAAAGTTTCTTTTAAGAAATCAGCTGATAGTCTTATGAGAGCTCCCTTGTGAGTAATTAGTTGCGTTTTTCTTGTTGCTCTTATCATTCTCTCTTTTTCTTTAACAACTTGCCATTTTAATTATGATGTATCTTGATGTGGCCCTGTTTAGTTCATCTTATTTAGGACTCTGCATTTTCTTGGCTTGTATGTCTATTTCCTTCACCAGGTTAAGAAAGTTTTGAATCATTATTTCTTCAAATATCTTTTTGATCCTTTGTTCTCTCTCTTCTCCTTCTGGTACTTGTATAATGTAAATGTTGTTATGTTTGTGTTGTCCCATGGGTCTCTTAAGCTATCTTCATTGTGTTTTATTCTTTTTTCTTTTTCTTTTTTTCCAGTTGGATGTTTTCTGCTACCTTGTCTTCTAGATTGTGTATTTGATCTTCAGCTTTACCTAATCTGTTGTTGATTCCTTCTAATGTATTCTTCGTTTCAGTTATTGTATTGTTTATTTCTGACTGGCTCTTTCTTTATGGTTTCTATCTCCTTCATTATGCTTTATGTGTCTTTGTTGAATTTCTCACTAATTTCCTTAAGCATTCTTATAATCAGTTTTTTTGTTTGTTTTTTTTTAAAAAAGATTTTTTATTGGGGAATTGGGGGAATGGGAACAGCGTTGGGGAATTGGGGGAAGGGGAACAGACAAGTTGCTGTCGTTTTGCTCTTCAGTCTAGTTGTGGAGGACGTTGCTTCACTGGCCCAAGTTGGCACCATCATTGCGCTCTTCTCTGGCGAGGCAGATCAGTCGCCGGCTTCTGGACGGCCGCTCACTGCGGCTGCTGGCCGCTCACGCTGGCTGCTGGCTACATACGGTAGCCCATGGCAACCCACTGCCACAGGGACTGCAGCCTACGCCGTCGCCGGCGACTCAGGGCAGCCCAGCTCCAGGTTGAGCTGTTGTTCAGCATCTTAGCTGTGGAGGGCAGTGTCACTGGCCCTCATATGTGGGATCCGAACCGGGGCCCTCTAGCATCCCAAGCGAGTTCTTAACCATCGCGCCACTCGGCCGGACCTATAATCAGTTTTTAAATTCTGTCTCTGGAAGGTCCATTGCCTCCATTTCATTTTATTCTATTTCTGAAGGAGCTTATGTTCTTTAATTTGGGACATTTTTTTTGTTTCCTCATTCTGGCCACCACTCTGTGTTTGTTTATATGTATTAAGTAGATCTCCTATACCTCTCAATCTTTGCTAGGTGGCCTTATGTATTATGTATCCTATGTAGTCCAATGGCGCAGTCTCCCTGATGTCCTGTGTGTGTGTACCAAGCATGTCCCTTGAGTGTGTTGTGTGTGTTCTCCTGTTGTAGTTGAGCCTTGATTGCTTCTGGCATGTCAATATGTGGGATTGACTCCAAACCTGACTGACTGTGAGGATTAGCTACACCTACAGTGTATGAGCTGCTGTGTGGGGGCTGACCTCTCAGAGGAGTCTTCACTCCCATGAGTTGTTGTGACTATTTAGGCCCTCATTTGGGTGTGCCACTTGTGGCACTAACCAGGTAGTGCTCTGGTGTGGTCTGAAGCTGACCTCTGGGCATGTTGTTTCTGATGTCTCTTGAGAGGGGTTCTTATGCAGGCCAATTTCAGCCTTGCCTGTTACTGGCTCACAGCTACCTGGTAGGAGCCACAAAGCTGTATGTAGTTGGCTGCTGCCTGTGCTGGACTTCGAGGCATGTGGGGGTGGCCTTGTTTTGAACTGAGACTGGCTGCTGCCAGTAGTGGGCCTGAGGCAGATTAACAAAGGGCTCAGGGTCCCCTAGGTCTATTGCCTCCTGATGGCTGTCCTTAAGGCCCAGTCACTGAAAGAGCCTCCTTAGGTGCACAGGCCTGGCTGATTGATCCAGGGTTGAGAGTGCTTTCAGTGATGCAGCACTATCTGTGTGAGGGTAGAGTACCAAGGAGTCACAAGAAATAGCCAGCAACTTTTACAAAGTTCATGCAAATTTAGTTCTTACACCAGTGCTAAGCTTGTGACCACTTCACACAGCACCTAGAGATCACCAGAGTCTCAGGCTTGCAAATCCCTGAGAGCTGCCTCCAAGTGGCTGCAGCACAAGTTTTGGGTCACTGTCCATCACCAAAATCTCCTGGTCATTGCAAAGTATCCACTGCTGTAAAAGTCTTCTTTGGCTTGTGGGGCAGGGCCGACTACCCAGGATCCCAGAGTGCCCCTGGCAATGCAGCTCTAGGTGGGTGGGGTGGGGTTCCATGGAACTAAGGGGCGTGGTGGATGGTTTCTAGAAAGTAATGCAGTCTCAGCTCCTGCACCAGTGCTGGGCCCTCAACCATCCTACAAAAGCACCCTGAGAACACTACAGCCAGTCACTACCCATCCCAATCCCACAAGTTTCTGAGAGCTATCCTATTCTGAGAGCTGCAGTACAGGTCTTGGGTTACTGCCAACAAGCAAATGTTTCCAGGGCCACCAAGGGCGATCTGTCCACTTGAAACTGGCTTTCTCCTGAGTTTGTGGGATGAGGTCAGTGACCAGAAGTTAAGAGTTTCTAGGGTGATGCAGCGTCAGCTGTGTGGACGGCAGAGGACCCAGGGTACCACCAAGGCAGTGTGCACACATGGATTCCACCAGACCAATGCGGTCTCAGGCTTGGCCCTTTGGGAGCCTAACACTGAAAAGATGGCACCCTCCTGTAGGCCACATGTGTGTCAGGCTCCACACAGAAACAACGATGACTCCTATCCCTCCAGCTTCCTCCCTAAGGCCACACTACTCAGTTCTTCTCCACATCTCCCTTGGCCTCCCGAGCTGCCGCCCTTCCACCAGAGACAAGGTGAGTGTCCACAAGGGAGCAAGTCTGTGTGCTGGTTCTACAAAATGGTGTCTGGGGTTCAAGCTGTCTTCTGCCCCTCCAGGAAAGGCAAACAGAATCCTCACCGATTTTCACTGCCAGATGCCATGGGAAGTCCTCTTCCCAGCTCAGGACTCCTGGGCTGGGGATCCCTGCATGGGGCTAGGCCCCTTCCTCCTTCAGGGTGGACCTCTGTCACTGAGGTGTACTTCCTGGCATTTAACCCCTACCTGTGTGTTTGGGGTCAGCCCATTTCATGTCTCCACTTCTCCTACCAGTCATAATGTGGCCTCTTCTTTATATACTTAGATATAGGAGTTATGTTCTACTAGTCTTCAGATGATTCTTGAGATTGAATGCTTTGTAATTTATTTGCAATTTTGGTGTGATCCTGGGATGCAGTAGGCATAGCATTTACCTAATCTGCCATCTTGGACCCATTCAAAGAACCAAATTTAATTAGATAATGTTATCTATTGTTTTTCTAATTTCTTTTTTCTATTTTATAATTTTCCACTCTAATCTTTACTTTTCTTTCTTTTCTTCTGCTTGCTTTTGGTTTAGCTTTTTATTCTTTTTCTATTTACTTAAGGTAGAAGTTTAAGTAACTTATTTGAGATGTTTCTTAATGTAGCATTTACAGCTACAAATTTCCCTTAAGCACTGGTTCAGTAACATACCATAAATCTTGGTATGCTGTGTCTTTATTTCATTAATCTTGAAGCATTTTCTAATTTCCATGTTGATATATTTGATCTGTTGGTTATGTAGAACTGTGTGTGTTTTAATTTGCACATACTCATATTTATGAGTATCCCAAATATTTTGTAATATTTCTATCATTTTATATTTATTTATGGCCTAGCATATGGTTTATCTGGAAGAATGTTGTATCCATTTGAAAGGAATGCTTATTTTGCTACTGTTGGATGGAGTGTCCTGTAATGTCTGTTAGGTTACATTGTTGGTTTATAGTATTATTCAAGTTTTCCTTTCTTTGGTTGATCTTCTGCATAGTGGTTCTATTCATTATTGGAAGTGGTACATTGAAGTGTCCAACTCTTATTGTTATATTGTTTCTCCTAATTTCTATCAGTTTTGTTTTCATGTATTTGGTGATCAGTTATTAGGTGCATATATGTTTACTATTGTTTTATCTTTCTGATGGTTTGACCCATTTGTCATTATAAAATGACCCTGGTCATATTTAGTAGCATTTTTTGTTTTGTTTGTTTGTTTTCCTTTTTTTAGTAGCATTTTTTAAATCCATGTTGTCTAATATTAATGTAACAACTTCAGATTTCTTATGGTTGCCGTTTGTCTGTGATATCATTCTCCATCCCTTTAACTTCAATCTGTTTGTATTTTAAAATCAAGTGTGTCTACTGTAGACAGCATTGTTGAATCTGACCTTGTTTTCATTATAAAAATCGGCACTTTGAATGAGTTGTTTATTCCATTTACATTTAATGTTAACATGGATACATTAGGATTTATGATGCCATTTTACTTTTTGATCACAGTTCCTAGTGGGACAAGATTCTACTGAAGGGACAAGGACAAAGGAGCAGAGAAGATGACCCAGGTGAGGAGTGACCATCTGAAAGCTTATGGTGCATTGAGCACCAACTGAGCACAGGCCCCATCCACACTTGGTCCTCACAGCCTTCTTTTGTCCCATCCTGTAACAGACTCACAGAAAACATGTGCATTCTGGAAGGCTCTCAGTGCTTCCATTTATTTCTCATCTTAAATTTTAGACACCTTTTCCTTTATTAACCCACAGGCCAGATGATACGAATTAGAAAAAACAAATTCTCATCCAGATTCTTATTTCAATAAAAAAAGAAGTTGCCACTCAGTGTAACATGAAGTAAAGGCAGGGATGGAAACAGCCCCGCCTCTGCTGGAACAGGACAGTGGATCAGTGTGGGGAGGGGGCGTGGTGGGCAGAAGGCGGTCAGTCTCCCACCTCCTCACATGATGCTGATAGGGACATACATTCAGATGCCATTTGCAGAAAGACAGATTAGAGGGTCCTAAAATCACAGAGTGGAGGCATCACTCAGTCCCCAACAAAGCAGCTGTCTCACGCTGTAGAAGAAAACAATCATGAACAAATTCAGATTAGTGGCTATAAGTGGTGACATTCTCAACAGTCCACCGCTGTTCAAACCGTCTCAAAAAATCCTCAGTACCCAGTCTTGTCCCCTCTGCCCCAACCCCTCCCCACTTCAGGCACTCCAGGATCTCACCTATAAAGACTTGAGAGACACATCAGAGCCCTGGGCACTGTCACTTTCTGGAGTAGAACAAAAGAGGATGTGGTCAGAGCTCACAGCTGATGTAGCTAAAGGAGAAATTATGGAGGTGGGTGAGCTCCCCTTAGGGCTTTCATCTACATTATTCCAAGGGCCTCTGGGATCATCCCCCTCCACACTCACTTGCAGCCTTAGTGTAGCTCCCTCCTTTTCCGCCTGTGGGAAGAAAACATCACATGAGAAACCAGGAAGGAGGCATGGCTATGAGGCTGAACAGGAATCCCTTAATCCTGGACCCTAGTGAAGCTTCCAGAACTGTGTCCAAAGAACGAGGACAGGATCAGCAATTATGAAGAGGGAGGTATGTGGGGACTGGACCAACCACAATCCTGGAGATATGTCTTCAGCAGGAACCTTCCCCTCTGATCTTCATCTGCTAGGAATCAGGTCACCATCACCAGAGTTATGAAGGTGGAACATTTGTCTTTCATTTTAACAAGTGTTTTACAGAAGACTAAGTGTTAGCAATCAGTTCCAGAATAAGCAAGCATGTTGTGTGGATGGCACTTCCCACCCACACACTTCTATTTGGGATTTTAAAAAATCCCCTGTGCAGAAAACTCACTCCCCACTCCTTTCCTACCTGAGCGCTTCCTCTTCCACAGCACAGCTCCAACCACCAAAGCTCCAGTGACCACAAAGACAACCAGACCAAAAACGATGCCTATAATTGGGATAGTGGGCTGAGGAGGTGGTTCTCAAAATGGAAGGGAAGGGGCCCAGACCTCAGACTTAAGTCCCAACCTTGCTGAAGTTGTCCATAGGGCTTCTGCTTTATCCAAGAAGAAGCTTCACCCTCCCTCCCCCATCCTTCTCCTTACCCCATCTCAGGGTCGGGGGATGGGGCAGCCCCTCGTGCTGCACATGGCACGTGTATCTCTGTTCCTCTCCAGGAGGCACCACCACACCTGCCCACTTCTGGAAGGTCCTGTCCCCCGCCGGCCTGGTCTCCATGAGCTCCATGTCCTGGGTCTGGTCCTCCCCATCATGCTGCCAGGTCAGGGTGATCTCCACAGGGTAGAAGCCCAGCACCCAGCACCTCAGGGTGACCGCACCATCAGAGATGGGGTGGTGGGTCACACGTGTCTTTGGAGGGTCTAAGGAGGCAGAATCAGAAAATCCACACTTTGGTTTACCTCCATGGGTCATTGAAGCTGCACTCATGACCATCCTGAGGAGGGACAGGACAATCGAGTTGGCAGGAAGCACAAAACACAGACTCCAGTGTGGACTCCAGGATCTGAGATAATCTGATTTCTTGGAAAGTTCCAGAATCAGGACAAGGATCTAGAGGTGGAGGCTCCAGGTCTCTAAGGAAGAGAACAGAGACTTCTGGTCCTGACCTGAGTGGAGGGTGATTATTCAGAAAAGCTGAAGTCAGGCCTCCTAAGATATTCTCAGACTGAGAAAAAGGCCTTGAGAGAGAGTGTGTGGCATGGGTCACAGGATTGCTGCTAAGGTCAAAGGGAACCACTGATGGGTTATTTCAGGAATATTTCCCCTCCATCTTCGTAGAGACTGGATTCCTTAATTGTCCTTTTAAGAAAGGTGGGCCCTCTGGTTGAGTTCTCTCTAGCACAGACTAAGAAAACCTAGGGGACTCCTCTCTCTCCTGACCAGGAAGGGAGGTTTTCTTACACTCATTCCACTGTCCTCCCCTCCCTGTGGGAAGCCAGCACCAGCCCCAGCTGAGACGGGGATGCGTCATACCTGTGCGCAGCAACGTCTCCTTCCCGTTCTCCAGGTATCTGGGGAGCCACTCCATGCAGGTGCCCTCATAGTAGCCCCTCGCGTTGTCCGCTACACCAGCTGCCTCCAATTTCTTCTTGTAGATCTCAGCTGCCTTGTCCGCCGCGGTCCAGGAGGAAAGGTCTGACAATTACATTTGTGAACTCATCCTAGAAAAAAACTGTTGCATACCTCATTGCTGAATATCACTATGGTCACATTACAAGTACTCCCTTTGAGAAGCTATGCATTGATACCAGCACTTAGTCCATCTTTCAAAGCAATTTTGGAATTCTTTCTGGAATGACCATGATAGATGTCATCAAATTACCCTTGATATCCTGAATGTCATCAAAATGTCTTCCTTTCAATATTTCCTTTATCTTTGGGTAAAGAAAGGAATCATTGGGGGCCAGATCAGGTGAGTATGGAGAGTGTTCCAATACAGTTATTTGTTCGATGGTTAAAATCTCCCTCACAGACAGTGCCGTGTGAGCTGGTGCATAGTTGTGACACAAGATCCATGAATTACTTGTTGACAAAAACTTCAGGTCATCTAACTTTTTCACGCAGCCTTTTCTGCACTTCCAAATAGTAAACTTAGCTAACTGTTTGTCCAATTGGTACAACATAATGAATAATTCTTCTGATATCAGAAAAGGTTAGCAACATCATTGCAACAAGTTCATGAACTAAACTGTCAAACCTCGTATGTTTATAATTGTTTTATCTGATGGTTTGATCCATTTATCATTACAAAATTACCTTGTTCATCTTTAGTAGCATTTTTTTAAAGTCTCTTTTGTCTAATATTAGTGTAACAACTTCAGGTTTCTTATGGTTGCTGTTTGCCTTTGATAACTTTTTTCATTTCTTTAACTTGAATCTATTTGTATTTGAATATCAAGTGTGTCTACTGTAGAGGGCATAGTTGGACCTTACTTGTTTTCACTATAACAATCTGCACTTTAAATGAGTCGTTTATTCCATTTACATTTAATGTTAACATCATTTGGATTATAATGCCATTTTACTTTCTGATCATGGGTCCTAGTGGGACAAAATTCTACTGAAGGGACAAGGACAAAGGAGCAAAGAAGATGACCCAGCTGAGGAGTGACCATCTCAAAGCCCACCATGCACTGAGCACCAACTGGGCTCAGGCATGATCCAAGCTTGGTCCTCACAGCCTTCTCTTGTCCCCATCTGCACTAGGTTCTGCACAGCAAACACACGGATTCTGGTAGGTTCTCAGGTCTTCCATTTATTTCCTCTCAAACTTTAGGATTTTCTCCTTCAATTAACCCATCAACCCATCACGGCAAGAATTGAAAAAACAAATTCATATTCAGATTTTTATTTCAATAGAAAGTAAAAAGTTGCTCCTCAGTGTAACACGAATAAAGGCAGGAATGGAAACAGCACCCACTGGAACAGGACAGTGAATCAGGGAGAGACTCAGTGTGGGGAGGGGGTGTGGTGGGCATGGGGAGGACAGTCTCCCCGCTCCTCACAAGATACTGAGAGGAACGCAGACACATTCAGATGCCCTTTGCAGAAAGAGAAATCAGAGATTCCTGAAGTCACAAAGCTGGAGCATGAACAAATCTTAAATCACTCAGTCCCACACAAGGCAGCTGTCTCACGCTGTAGAAGAAAATAATCATGAACAAATTCAGGTTAGTGGCTGTAAGTCAAGACATTCTCAGTCCACTGCATGCTCAAAATGTCCCCCAAAATCACAATTACCCAGTCCTGTCTCCTTTGTTCCAACCCCTTCTCACTTCAGGTCTTCCAGGGTCTCACCTTTAAAGCTGTGAGAGAAACATCAGAGCCCTGGGCACTGTCACTGCCTGGGGTGGAGCAAAACAGGATGTGGTCAGGGCCCACAAGAGATGTGGTTAAAAGAGAAACTATGGGGGTTGGTGAGCTTCCCCCATGGGTTCCTCTCTGCACTACCCAGCAGCCTCATAAAGAAGGAATTATGGGGGTGGGTGATCTCCCCACAGGGCTTCCATCTACACTATTCCAAGGGTCTCAGAGATCACCCCCCTTCCATACTCACTTGAAGCCTCAGTGTAGTTCCCTCCTTTTTCACCTATGGAAAGAAAACATCCTGTGAAAAAGTGGAAGTGGCAGGGCCATGAGGTTCCCTTAAACCTGGGCCCTAGTGAAGTTTCCAAAACTGTGTCTGAAGACCCACGGCAGGATCAAGAAACATGAAGAGAGAGATGTATGGGGACTTGACCAACCACCCTCCTGGAGATATGTCCTCAGCAGGGACCTTCTCCTCTCATCTTCAACTGCTAGGAATCAGGTCACCGTCACCAGAATTATGAAGGTGAAACCCGTATTTCATTTTAACAAGTACTTTACAAAAAACTAAGCGTTATCAATCAGCTCCAGAATAGGCAAGCACGTTGTGTGGATGGCACCTCCTATCCACACACTTCTATTTGGGGCTTAAAATAACCCTGTGAAGACAACTCAATCCTCACTCCTTCCTTACCTGAGTGTTTCTTCCTCCACAGCACAGTTCCAAGCACCACAGCTCCAGTGACCACAAAGAGAACCAGACCAACAATGATGCCCATAATTGGGATGGTGGGCTGAGGAGGTGGTTCTGCAAAGGGAAAGGAAGGGGCCCAGACCTCAGACTTGAGTCCCAACCTTGATAAAGTTGTCCATAGGGTTTCTGCTTTATCTGAGAAGAAGCTTCACCCCTCATCCTCTCCTTACCCCATCTCAGGGTGAGGGGTTTGCGCAGCCCCTTGTGCTGCACATGGCATGTGTATCTCTGCTCCTCTCCAGAAGGCACCACCACAGACACCCACTTCTGGAAGGTCCCGTCCCCCGCCGGCCTGGTCTCCACGAGCTCCATGTCCTGGGTCAGGTCCTCCTCATCAAGCTGCCAGGTCAGGGTGATCTCCGCAGGGTAGAAGCCCAGCGCCCAGCACCTCAGGGTGACGTCACGGTCAGAGATGGGGTGGTGAGTGATATGTGTCTTTGGAGGATCTGAGGAGAAGGGTCAGAAAATCCACACTTTGGGTTACCTACTGAGCCACTGAAACTGTGCTCATGACCATGTTGAGGAGGGACAGGAGAGCTGATTTGGCAAGAAGGTGCACAAAACACAGACTCTAGTGTGGACTCTAGGATCTGGGATAATCTGAGTCCTTGGGAAATTCTAGAATCAGGGCGAGGAGATAGAGTTGGAGGCCCAGGTCTCTAAGGACAAGAACAGAGATTTCTGGTCCTGAACCTGGGTGGAGGATGATTATTCAAAAAAGCTGGAGTCAGGCCTCCTAAGATGTTCTCAGACCGAGAAAAAGGCCTTGAGAGAGAGAGAGAGAGAGAGAGTGTGTCATGGTTCACAAGATGCCTGCCATGGTCAAAGTGACCACTGATAGGTTATTTCAGGGACGTCTCCCTTTCATCTTGGTAGAGACTGGATTCCTTAATTGTCCTTTTAAGAAAGGTGGGCCCTCTGGGTGGGTCACTCTCTAGCACAGACTAAGAAAACCTAGGGGACTCCTCCCTCTCCTGACCAGGAAGGGAGTTTTTCTTACACTCGTTCCACTTTCCTTCCCTCCTTGTGGGAAGCCAGCACCAGCCCCAGCTGAGATGGGGAGACGCCATACCTGCGCGTAGCAGCGTCTCCTTCCCGTTCTCCAGGTATCTGAGGAGCCACTCCACGCAGGTGCCCTCAAAGTAGCCCCTCGCGTTGTCCGCTACACCAGCTGCCTCCAATTTCTTCTTGTAGATCTCAGCTGCCTTGTCGGCCGCGGTCCAGGAGGAAAGGTCCTCGTTCAGGGAGATGTAGTCAGCGCCGTCGTAGGCGTACTGCGCGTACCCGCGGAGGAAGCGCCCGTCTGGCCCCACTTCGCAGCAACATATTCTCTGGTAGGTGTGAGACTCTGACCCCGCCCCGCGGTCAGCCACGCCCCTTAACCCCAAACCCGCCCACCCCGCAGTGACCGAGCCTACGCTGAAAAGGAAACCCGGTGAAAGTAAGTCCCCGCGGGCTCGTCCCGGGTGGAGGCGCCGGGCGGGTCCTCAGCCTCGGGGTGGAGCTCGGACCCGAAGACTCGGGGAGACCCCGGCCCATCCGCGGGGTTGGGGGCGTGGGGGTGGGGGTCGGGACCGGGACCGGGCCCGCGTCGCTCACCGGCCTGACTGTGGTTGTAGTTCTCCAGCGCGCTCTGCAGCTCCGCTCGCAAAACCTGTTGGTGGTCCTTGGCGCGTTGTGTCTCCCGCTCCCAGTACCCCGGGTCCACCTGCTCCAGCCACGGCGTCTCCATCCACGCCGCCCGCGGCTCCGTCTTTGGACTCGCGGCGTCGCTGTCAAATCGCACGAACTCCGTGTCGTCCACGTAGCCGACGCCGATGAACCGGGGCTCCCCGCTGCCGGGCCGGGACCAGGTGGTGACGAAATACCTCAGGGAGTGGGAGCCTGGGGACAGGGAGGGGCTGAAACCCAGGTGGTCTTCCTCCCGGCGTGGGACCCGGTCCGAGGGGCGATGGGCCGGGAGGGGGCGGGGGGCCCGGGAGACGGAAAAGGGGCGGGACGGAGGGGGGAAGGGGGTGGGAGACCCGAGTGGGCGACAGGAGTGGGCGGGACACGGGGCCGGGGCAGTGGGGACACATCTTCCCCGGGGTCCTGCGTCCCCACCGGGCGGTCTCCTCGCTTTTTCCCCCGGCGGAGACCGTTTCCTCCCGACCCCGCACTCACCCGCCCGGGGCCCCGTCAGGGCCAGGGCCCCCGAGAGCAGCAGGAGGAGGGTTCCCAGCCCATTGACCTGCATCCTCCAGCTCTGGAAGCAATCTGAGTCCCTGCACAAGTCGGTGGAGACTTGATAACTGGGAATGCCAGTGATACTGATTGGCTTCTCAAGAAATTGGACAGCCAATGGGAGTGAGAACTGGTGTCGCATGTTGACTGGAGGAAATAATTTTTCGAGTACTCTGTCAAAAGAGGGTTTATTCTGGAAAAGGAAAAAGCAAAACCACGCAGCAGTTTGAGATGCCCACCTCCAGCCAACTGGCCTCCTGCAGCGTTCTACCCCTCTCCCAAGATGGCCTGTATATCACCCCCAACCCCCCCACAGCACTGGAAGTTAAAACAGAAAGTCAGGACTAAAGAGTAACAGGAAGCCCAGCTCTATCCATAGCTCTCCCAGCTCCTGGGTCGTTTTTCTTAAAGTGCCAGTTAACTTTTATCATTCCCCACCCTTTTGATCAAGATCTTTTCTCTAAAAGTATAGTTGATCAACAGTCAGGTCTTCTGGTCTCAAGTTTTCCACTCTTCAGCCTTTTGTCCCTCGATGTCAGGAAGCACTTCCTCTGGGTGTCATCTCATACATCAGGGGGAGGGTGCATGGATCAGGAACAGCTGGTGTCCAGGGTTGATGGGCACCAGGAGCAGAGCTTAAATACAATAAGAATTAAAGGTAGAATTAGAACATAGCAACCTAGGGCTGGCCAAGTGGCTCAATTAGTTAAGAGTTAGCTTAAGAGCATGAGGTCTGAGTAACAGGGCCGCCAGTTTGATTCCCACATGGGCCAGTGATGCTGCGCCCTAGCTGAGCTTCTGCTGAGCTGCCAACAGGTGGCAGGATGGCTCAGCCGGTATAACAACAAGATTGCCTGTTCGATGGTGGGCTACGCCCACCTGCATTTAAGACTGAACTTGGCACCTTGAGCTGAGCTGCTGCCCGGATGGCTCAGTGAATAGAGCATGAGCTCTTAACAACAAGGCAGCTGGTTCAACTCCTGCATGGGATTGTGGCTATGCCCACCCGCAACTAAGATTGTAACACAGCATCTTGAGCTTAGAGGCCACGAGCTGCCGGGCAACCAGAAGGCGACTGGCACCCTCCACAACTAAGATTGAAGAACAACAACTTGGCTGGTCTCCCTCCCCAAATTCCCCAGCATTGTTCCCATCCCCCAATTCCCTGATTTAAAAAAAACAAAAAAACAAAAAACATAGCAACCTAGCTTATATGGTAGGTATAAACCAACAGCTCAAATTCAAGCTTGTAGAGAAGGAGATAAAGACTATCATCTTAAATAGATCAAAGTTTTTGACGATAGACTCAACAACCAGAAAGACTTGGTAACTCGTTTCCTTAAAGGTCACCTGCTTTAAATTTTGACAGCTTTAGTTTTAGGTCACCAGACTGTGTGCAGTTCTAGTCAGGGTTTTGTGCCTTCTTTAGGTGTGACACGTGTATCCAAGAGTCTACTCCCTGCAGTTTAGCAGCACAGGGGTGAGTCAACATTACCTGGTAAGGGCCCTTCCAACGAGGCTAGAGGGAATCCTTTTTTAGGTGTTTTTTCCAATATAATCTCCGGGTTGTAGAGTGTGTATTTTTAGTTTTTCATTTCCTTGGAGTGCACTGTGAAACGATTGTTCTACTAAAGCATGATAATTGTCAATAAAAGCAATTAAGCCTTTACAGTATTGAAGTATGCCTCCTTTCACCAACTATAGATCAAGAGAGGCAGGAGCCAAATGCATAGAGCATCCTGTAATTATCTTGAAAGGAGAAAGCTTATGAGTCCCAAAGCGGTGGGTGTGAGATTTAAAAGGATGAATGGCAATGCTTTTGGCCAAGGTATTTGAAGAGTCTCTACACATTTTGCCAGTTGAGTCTTAATAATGTCCTTAGTGTGTTCAACCAATTCTGAAGATTGAGGATGGTAAGCACAGTGAAAATGTTGTAGGATTGGCCAAATAGCACAGACTTGCTTTAGCACCTGACCAGTGAAATGGGTTCCTTGATAACTATGGAGTTCGAAAGGAGTTCCCCAAGTAGGAATAATCTCTAATAATATTTTAGCCACTGCAGACGCATTAGCTTGTCTGCAAGGGAACGCTTCATTCAGTCCAGTGAGAAAACATACATATCATGACTACAACATACTTGTATCCATGAGATGGGAGAAGCTGTATAAAGTCTATTTGCCAGACCTCAAATGATCCATTTGGCAAATTAAAATGTCCAGGGGCAGTGCTAACAGGCTTCCCTGAATTGTACTTCGGACAGGTGGAACATCTAAAGTAGGCACTTTTGCAGCCTTATTAATATTTCCTCACCAATATTGGTGCGTGAATGCTACCATTTTGTCAGTAAACCAGTGTTTCAATGCATATACAGTGGTTAGGAGTGGGGATTTTAGCGTCTCTGTAGGACTGGGTTGTTGTTTGGGCCAAACCAATGTCTTCTCCTAATCAAACAAGAAATTGTTACATCTCCAGTCTTGTTTCTCTTTTTCAGAAGCTGATTGTTGGGCTTCTCTAGCCAGTTTTTCTAAGTTATCAACTGGAGAAGATTCTCTCTGGACCATGAAAGAGATTTGACTGCTGCTGACGCCTTTTAGGGAAGCATTCTAAACAGAAATGTCAGCAAGGTGATTTCCTTTAGCTTCCAGAGAATCAAATTTAGAATGTCCTGGAATCTTAATAATGGCTAAGGCATTAGGTAGAAGTATACCATCCAATAATTCTTGTATATATGGACCATTTTTATTTTACCTCCATTGGAAGTAAGGAAATCATGTTGTTTCCATAGCATTCCAAGGTCGTGAGCCACTCCAAAGGCATATCTGCTGTCAGTATAAATGTTGACAACTCTACCCTTTGCTAAAATGCAAGCTCAAGTGAGGGCATATAATTCATCCTGCTGTGCTGAAGTGGCCAGAGGTAAAGGTGCTGCCGCAATGAATTTGAAGGAGTTATAACAGCATAACCAACACAGTGCTTACTGTTGTCATTTTTTAAGTTATGGACCATCTGTAAACCATGAAAGATCAGCTTTACCTAGAAGAGTCTTTTTCACGAGGAGTCAGGAGGTGATTTGTGAGTGCCAGGCAGTCATGAGGGGCTGTCTCAGTCTCAGAAGGAAGAAAAGTAGCTAGATTGAGGTTATTACAATGTGAAAGGGTTAAATGGAAGCAGTTAACAAAAGGATTTAATAGAAAGTAAGATGACTGACTGAAAGATTCTGGGTGTGATGAGAATTCAAGAGAGCTTCTACTGCATGAGGCACAAAGATGGTTAAAGAGGGTCCCACAACAATTTCCTCTGTGGCTTTAACCAGGAGGACAGTGGCCACAATGGCTCTAAGGCAACTGGAGCCACGGGGTCCAGTTGCTGACTATAGTAAACTAGGGGTCTATATTGATCTACATGTTCCTGAGCGAACACTCCAAGGGCATTTTTTTCCTTTTTATGTACAAAAAAGAAAAAGGGAATCTCATAGTTAGGATGCCCAAGAGAAGGTGGGTTTTTAAAAAATTACCATATTCAAGGCCCTAAAAGCCATGTCATCCCATTCTTCCCATGAAATTGGGTCAGGACTGTCATTCCTTAATAGGACATATAGAGATTTTGCCACAAGAGAGATTTGGGATCCAGTTCCAGCAATAGGTAACTGGCCCAAGAAAACCTCACAATTTGTGCTTAGTCTTGGGCCTTGGGATACTTAGAACACCATGGAGCCTGTCTGGATCTAGGTGTAGACCTTGTTCTAATATCAGATGTCCCAAATATCGAACCTGAGTTTGAGCAAATTGTAATTTTTCTTTAGAAACCTTAAATCCTTTTAAGACCAAACAGTGTCAACAAATGGATGCTATCTTCCTGTGAGGAAACCTGAGGAGAGCAAAGAAGTAAATCATCCACATATTGTAACAAGGTGGAACCTTCAGGGAAAATGACATCATCCAAATCAGTCTTTAGAATCTGTGAGAAATAAGAAGGGCTGTCAGTAAAACCTTGAGGCATTATGATCTAGGTAAATTGCTTTCCTTCCCAAGTGAAAGCAAAAGGTATTGGCTAGCTTCATCAACTGAGATGCTAAAGAATGCACTGCATAAATCAATTACTGCAAAGACTTTGCTTCCTGTTGGGATGGATGCCAGCAGCATATGATGGTCAGGAACGACAGAGTGTCGAGGGATAGCAATGTGGTTTATTGCTCATCGGTCCTAGACAAACCTCCATCCTCATCCCTTTGGCTTTCTCACAGGTAGAATAGGAGTGTTACAAGGACTAGTGCAAGGAATAATAAGACCCTGAGTTATGTAATCTTCTATTATGGGCTTTATACCTTGGACAGCCTCCTTAATTATAGGATATTGACTAATTCTGGGCAGAGGCTTTGAAGGATCAGTTTGAACCTTGATAGGAGGTGCACTGTGAACTCTGCCAATGTCAGTTGAAGATTTTTCCCATAAAGAAGATGGTAGTTTGTCCAATAAGGACCATTACTCAACACTCTCGGGTTCAGTTACTGTACCATCAGAGACAACACAAATGAAAGATGCTGAAAGGTCATGTAATTCACTTGATTGGTGATTCTGATGGTTACCATCAAATTCTAGCATTATTTCTCCTTTTTGAGAAACGGATATTCCAGCATGCTACAATACTTCTCTAAAAAGTTTCTGCCTAATCAATGGATACAGGCAGAAGAACTAAGAGAAAACAATGTTCATCTCTTAAGGGACCTCAACAAAAGGAAATAGGTTCAGATATATAAGTCTGTTGAGATTTATTTGAAATCCCCACTATGTGAAATGTCTCATTACTTCAAGGCAAGTGCTGGTTCATAACAATGTGGTTGAGCACTGAGAGCATAGCAACAGTGTCAAGAACAGAAATAGTTTCCTCCCCTATTTGAAGAACAGTTTCTCCAAGATGATTAAGAGGAAGGATTGGAAAAAAACCCTGTAGTTTCTTGGAGCCCTGTCATTGGGAATTTGGAAGACAAGAAAAAGACTGGTAAGAAAGGAAAGAGCATCTTGTTTGCTTGAACTTGTAACAATCTTTTTTCCAGTGTCAAAAAGTAGTTGTGGCAAAAAGTTGGAGTTCCTTGGTTTTACATAGGGCCTCTCATTTGCCATGGCTGAAAGCCAGAAGTCTTAGCAATCTTCTAGGTGGCTTGTCTAGGGTACTGGCTAGCTCATTGGCCAAATTTACCAAGTCTGGGGTAGCCACAGTTCCTTATTCCATCCTGGAGAGAAAGTTTATTTAGCCCTCAACAAACAAACAATTAAAAGTTACATGTGTGATGTCAACATCTGAAGACCAGAATTTTTTTAAAAGACTGCCTGAAGTCTATTATAATAGTCATGAACAGAT